CCTCATCAAACAAGGAAGCATGGTTGCCAAGTAATCTTAGTAATGCTTCTCGCCTAACTGACCCAAGATGTTCAAGATTGGCCTTAGGAATTTCGACCGTATCACCTGTAGAGGTCGTTACAGCATTCACCTCGCATGAACAATTTGAAAAAACCTGGAAATCATCCTCGGCATATCCAAAATCATTTAAACCAAACTCTCGATCAAAATCATCTTCAAAATCGACAAACTGACCATGTAATTCAGCATCAAGATCCAATTTATGTTTAACATTTACATCCTCTGCATTCAAAGATTGTATATTATGGGAGCTTTTCGCCTGCCATTTACATTCGTAATCATACTGTGGATCATTCGATGGTTCAACCTCAGATTCTATTACTCGGGTAATTGACTCTAGTTTAGCAATAGGAAAACCTGGCTCGAAAATGACTGGCTTCTCACGGTCGTTAACCACCCATACACTAAGTTTATTATCTCTTACATTTACGACTGAATAGGGGACAAGAACCTGTGTCGTTTTCCCTATGACTTCACTCACAGTATCGTGAAAACCATCAGCTATACAATTGATAAATCGGCCGGCACGCGGCGGGCAAACTGTAGCTGTTAAGCATCGTGCCGTCGTTACTACTCGGGACGCGCTTCGAGAGCTGCTCCTCTTTGGCGAGCGACGACAGGGCAAAGAGAGTAATCCTAAGGATGAACAATCGGTAAACTGTACCGCAAGTTTAATACCGTTAAACAATGCATAACTACGGACAGGAGAGTGGTTAAGGACCATTTTAAAGTTGAATCTCCGAATGAAATCCACTCCGAGGAGAATATCTCCTGGAAATCTTATGCTATTATCAACCACAAGTACAGCGTGAGTACATTTGACTCTCTCAGATAAGGTAAAGAGAAGTGTACAAATCTCGGCTGCGCGGAAGGACTCTCCCGACGCGCCTCGTAAAGGTTGAAAGGATGGCCTTGTGGAAATTCTTTGTAACTGAGAGACGAAACTCTTACGTACAATTGTCACTTCACTGCCGCTATCAATGAAGCAGGTGGTTTTTATTTTATTTACAATAATGGCTACTAGCGGTCTGCCAGAAGCAATATGACCAGTAATAGGAGCTGCATGCTGAGTCTGATTAATTCTGTTCGCGATACGACTCGTGCCTGTGACCCCGAGGCATCGCTTCACGGGCAGCTGGGGTTGGCGACCCGCGAACTCTCGGAAACCAGCAGTTATTCGCGATGTGACCCGTCCTTGAGCAATTATCGCATTTAAGCACGGCGTTTCGGCTCGTTCGGCAGTCTTGCGTATCATGTGTAAAGACCTTGTGGAAAGAACAATAAGGGCGAGTTTGTTTTACATTAGAAGCGGGCTTGTGGGCATTGTTACGGGGACGTACAGACGGTTCGAAAGCGACGGGCGGTCCTTCGACTGACGCGGAGTTGCACCGCAAGTGCCAAATCTTCTGTGCGGTGTCTACTAAATCGGGTTTCTCCTCCACAATCACTAACGCCTCACGTAGCCATTGTGGCAGCCCCTGCAAAAATATACGGCGCATTAACTCGTCGGGCGCGCCGATAGCTCTCGGATAGTCTCGTACTCCTTGGTATACAACGGTTTCTATTGTAAGAAAGAAATCACACGGGGAGACTGCTCCTAATTTGTACTTATCGAGGTGACGAAAAAAATCAGACGCAGAGCATGTGCCCCGGAACTTGACCCTTAGTTGCTCTTTAAATTCTTCCCACGTATTTATTCCATCAAATATAGGAGAATTTATAATTACGTCTGCCGCACCTCGACAACTAATTCGCGCGGCGCGGATGAGAGCGGCGTCTGAACCTTGCGCAGTGGAGTTCTCGATTCGTCTAATCCAGGTTTCGATCTCCTGGTTACGCCTTAACGGTTGCGCTGCGGGAGTTTCCGCTGTAAAGGGAGGAATTGGGTCTTTATGCGTAATCACTTCTACTCTAGAGGCAGGAGCAGATGGAAGAGGCTGAGAGTTCGGACTCTCATTCATCGAACGAGCGAGTGCTGAGCATTGTGCCTGAACAACCGCGAATTGTGCCTGAAGGGCTTCATACCTCTGACTAAGTTCTTCATACTGGGTAAGGTCTAAAGGGTCTCTTTGTGCACTTACTAAATGAGACGGTCCGGCAATTACATTTGGTGGGCTACTACCTGACGAATCCAAATTCGTATGTGACGATGCACCTGCCATACCTGATCTAGCGCGCGTCTTCTTACCCATACTACGTTTCTGTTTTACAGGTACGTACTTTACGATTACAAAAATAATTAATACTTATCGAGCGATCCGATAATTATCCCACCGCTAGGCACCAAAATTACAAACTGGTTGTAGCGTTAGGTGCGCGCGAGAACCCAGCGGACGACCTGCGGTGGAGGTGACACCAATTATAGTTTTTCAATTACGTATATAGGCCTTCCCCTGTGGCTTACACACCTGAGCTGCCACCACCCACTTATTTGCGTGTGGGAACGCGTATATGTGCGTGTGTGTGTGAGATACGAATGCAAGGGTATGTGCAGAAAGATAGGACGTGTGTGTGTGTGCGTGTGTGTGTGGAGTACGTGTATGACAGAGTTGGTAAGCGTGTTTAAACCGAGGGGGAGGACGCGCACGCGAGCACACCTCACACTCGCGAGTCTCGACTTCGTTCAGGTGTAATTAGGAAGTTCTTGATTTACTATCCGACTTCTCTTCCACTCGCATTTCTGACCTTTCCGTGTTTTATGTTGAACTCTATACCTCCTAGGTACGGGAAACCAAGACAAAAAGGCGTAAGCGAAAAACTTCGTTGTTGTACCTTAATGCTTCGCCCAACAGAGGGTTATATGAGCGGCAAGTAACAGTGTTTAGACGAAATCCCTCTGCGATCGTTCACAACAAATGTTTGTATGGAATTCCTCCGTTAACAACCCAACCAGTGTCACCGTGCGCGGGGTCTTTAGTGATCGAGCGTTCACAATGGTCAAATCACTGGTTTCCCTTTTTTAGACTCTTCAAACATACCTGCTCTGATTTGTTGATAAACAAATTCTCCGGCAAGGGAACCTCGTTTAATCGAACCTTCTACGTTATTTTAACACCTGAACTTGTATTTTAAGCCCATTAACTATTTAAGGAGGTAGTGACTTTTCATTATAATTTATTATTTCCAAGTTGAAAATCGGTCATTCCTTTCATTTGTCATGGTTATTACTGAGGGTCTTTATCATTAGGTTTCATTTCCTCGTTATTTATCGAGTCATTATAATCCCTTTTGTTTACCTTTACAGGCGTATAATCTTAGTGAAAGGTTTGTTATAATCACCTATAAAATTTCAGAGTATAATTGGATTATATCTTCAATGTTTCCAAGTCGCCGATCCTTTTAACTTCACACTGTTTCCATTGCCTTTCCTTTACCTTCACAATAATCACTTTGGTGAGGGACTCATAGAAACATTAATAAGGGTTCAAATCAAGAGAATATATTTTTAAAAAAATCAAAAACAGTAAAATGGTAAATGGTTGAACCCTGGGGGGTTTACTTAGGCATTAAGAAATAAAAATTGAAATTACTTTAAAAGCACAAAAACACGATAAGGAACAATATTACATAGATGAAGGACAATATAAAATAAAGAGGCACCGGGATTTCCTAATGATGGTTCTAAACTGCCAGCCTGCCCACTACGACCTGTCTACCACTGCGCGTACACGACCACTTACGCCGACCAGCTGAACCCTGTCTCTCCGGCCTCCTTGCCCCAATCACCCCCTCGAGCAGAAGACCCGACCGTCACCACCTAAGGTGGCTAGATCAACTTTGACCCCGCCCATTTCCTTGGCCGACGGTTCTCTCGCGGGTGCCCCACATTTTAAGAAGTAAAAATTTGCATATGTGCTCTGATAAAATATCCCTAGACTTAAAAACTAACCATTCAAAAATTAATAAAATATAGGAATTAAAATGGAAATACTTAGAACCAAAATGCATTAAGAAACTATAAAAATACCAAAGCAAAAATAAAAACTAAATAAACGATATATAAAAACATCAAAATGGCTACGGGATCGCATCTAGAAAGTTAATGGATAAAAAGTACTTTCAAACCGAATACCCTAAATTAAAAATAGTTCCCCAAAAGTATAATTTTCTTTAATGTGGACCCCATGCTCTAATTTGTAGCAGTAACTATCATCTCGGGCCTTTAACAAATTTCCATAATTATATATGAACATTTCGTCACGGCATGAGGTTGGTTGTAGATCCACGACCAGTTGATAGAAGATGAGAACAATCGGGGGGAGCTGCGTCTGATGACGGAGCTGGCCACGACATATATATATATATAATTATAATAATAAACTGCTGCTACTGATCACGTAGTCTGCTACACCTCCACCGCTATCCAAGATTACCGCATTTTGCCAGACGCAGATGCACTTTACCGCTCATTGGCCTCACTTTAAGTGTGTGTATGTGTATTTTGAATATGTATACATATATAGTATATATATAATATGTAGACAATTATATACTCAGAATGTATTTTTTCTATGAGCGGACGATCAAGAAAATCACATCATTAACGGAAAAGGGATAGAGTACTAAAATAAATCAAACACAATAATATGATGTAGCATACTCAATGTAGAGTCTGATTTTGAAATCGCTGTTTAGACTGTCATCTATCTTCTCGTATATAAAGATGGGAATTAGGAGTAGAATAAATTGACCAGGTTTAGGCTATCTTGCCGTTTATTTATATCAATTCTTTCACAGAGCCTTGCTAGGGGACACGAGCTTATACACAAATCATTTTCCTATCTCTAATTGATGAAACTTCATATGAACATATACTCTAAATTGATTTTTAATTAAAATTTAACACTGATCACTGGTTCCCTACCCCCTTACTTTTGAGGCTTTATTCCTCTACACATGAAACATAATATTCAATATTCATTAATAACATTGCTAATGTACTAGAAAGTCCAACTGCAAATTTAAATCATGCTGTGCTCTCTAAATAAAGTATCATAAAAAGTATCAGAAGTCACAATCACAATTTCGTATCAGCAGCATCAGGACAGCTATACAGTTAGCGAGATTGACATCGGTCTGTTAATTAACTGTACTCGCTCCAAATTCCCACATACCTAAATTCTTTCAACCCCTTATTTGCCCAGAAACAAACAAACAAGCACAACATATTTTAAACTAAAATATAAATACAGACTATAATAAATGGTAATTAACATTTTTTTTCTACGAAGGTCGGAATACGCGGTACCATCACTCACAGTAAGCTATCCACGTAGATAAATGGATAAGAAATAGCCTATATAATTTACACTTTTTAAGGTAAACCACACTTAAAAAACCACATGCGAATCTATCAACAGTAAGTTCATCTGTAGGCATGACACAATCAACACTAGCCTCTCCACAAAGTTAATATCCAGGATATTACAACACAAGACTTTAGAATTTACAATATTTTAAAAATGAACAGTGAAAACATTGCCAGAAGGACATAATACATGAAATGGTGGAGATTTTACTTCACTTCATCTTTTGCAGTCTGTTGTAATAGACACTTCTAAATTACAGAATGCATTGTGATTAGATATTCAGGATAGTAATGATTCTTGTCACATTTAACGATAACTGTAGGCTTGGATGTGTTGTCTACGACGGTATCATACCCTTTTAACAAAGGTTGCAGTATGGGACCCTTCGTTTTGGAGGTCACCAAGACACGCACGACAAACAGATACTGAAAGGTAGCCCTATAGCCCTCAATGTTCTTACATGCCACAGATGGATCTGTGTAGAAATGAATTCCTTGACCATATTTCATGTTGGTAGTAGCCTCATGATCTTTCCAATCAAAGTTGGCAGAACATATACTACCCCTAAGTGAACTTCGAATGCTCTTGAATACTTGGAGATCTTCCAATGAGGATACTCTGGAATCAGCCTTCAGTGATTTTTTCGTGCACTGGAAATTCCGCCACAGCTGAGGATTTTGAATTCGCCTGATCCTAACAATCTTTAAGCCTTCTGTGGCAAGTGGTCTCTGAATTAGCGCTGCTATTTTCAGGTATTCACTAGACGATGTTGATAAAGAAATTGTACCATTTGCGTCTCAGGGTACATGGGAGTCCATGTGTGGGGTAATAAGGGTGTCTCTTTCTTTACGTCAAGATGATGGCCTGGTCGGCGGCGAACGTTTCGGACTGTGTTTGTTTTCTCATTTGCCTGGCACATTGTGAGAAAGTCTAAAATATAGGTATGGTTATTAACTACCATCTTTATTTTCTGGCATCGTTTCTGTGAAAA